GGGGGCGACAGGGGCGCGGGAGGTGAAAAAACGGAGTGAGGTTTCAGAGCGAATGAAGGGCGTGGCGTGGGCGTCGGGCGTGGCGGCAGCGGGGGCGGGGCGAGGCAGCCCGGAGCAGCGTCCCTGCCACAAGCGAGACATCGGACACGCCCCGCCGCGGGAGGGAGAGGCGGCGTGGCGACGTGTGTTGTATGTGTACAGTGCCGACTCGGCGGCCGGCGAGGCGGAGGCGGAGGCGGCGCTGAGGCAAGCCCGACAGCGGCAATTGCACGGCGGCGCTCCCGCTAGACGCGGGCGGCCCCAAACGGCCTGCCGCGGCACGGCGGCGAACCGCCCGACCGGCTACAGCGGCAGGTTGGCAGGCGGCGTGGGACGGGAAATAAACAAAGCGCCTGGAAACACGGCACATGCCAAAGCAGACCGGCGATAGCCCCGAGCAGATGAGGCCGCCGGGCGGGGGGGGGGGAGGCGATGAGTGAGGGCGGTCGCCAAGCGGCCGACGGCGAGGAGCCAGCGCCGCAGGGGAGCGCGACGCCACGCTAATAGGGAGAGAGCGGCGCTGACGCTGTGTGGGCGAGAAGGGCGGTCGCAGGTGCGGGGAAAACGCGCCTGGCTCTACCTACCGCATGATGATCGAAAGGCCAGAAAGGGAAAAACCGATCACTGTGAATTGGGGAAAACGGAAGGTACAACAAAAACACTAATTCAACCAAATACCCCTACGCAACGAAATTGCCCGTAGTACATTCGAGCAAATACGCATGAAGAATATTAATAAGGGAATACGCGTGGCGAAGTTGGCACTACCAGTCGCCCAGTGCGATCCGCACGCATGGTGAGGTCGGGATGTAGAAACGTGAAGCAGACGAGCGCTCTGTAGAGCCACCGCTTACTAGGCGAGGGGACGGCGAGGTCTGAGAGGGCGGCGTATGAGGGCGCGCCAATTCGCCCCGTCGGGCCGTGTTGCGGCCGTCGCTGTTCTCCAGGGAAGCGCCGCCGCTCTGTCGCGCGCGCGTCGCCGTATCAGAAATATTCATTGCCCACCTCGTGCGCCTTTCAAGCGCCACCAGCCGCCCGAGCCGCCCGCTTCCGCCAAAAGGCCTTCAAAACGCGGGGGAAAAAAAAAAATCTCCCTCCCCTCCCGACCCCAACCCCAGGCCTTACGGCGTGACTTTGCTCACCACCCGCCGACTGTGCCTTCTGTATTAAACCCTCTATCGTCTCTTCGAAGAGTCTGCGTACTCCCTCCTCCGCTCTCTTCACGTTTAGCCCTTTATATTCCACCTGTCGAGTTCCTCCGTCTGAATTAAAGCATCCAACGACTCACAATTCCACAGTTCACAATCCACATTTCCCTCTCTTCTCTGGTTCTTTTTTCTATTTTTGCTCTTCTCTGGTTCCTTTTTCCAATTCCTCATAATGATAAGGATTCGCACTCTACCATTCCCTCTTTTTTCATTGCTTTGTCTTCGTTTTCAAAACTCTTGTATCCATCTTCATCATCAAGTCACAATACATGATTACTTCACGTTTTTACCTTCTATTTCTCTCTTCATTTTCTATTCCACACTTTTTTCCCCTCTCACTCGACAATTTCTCCCTATGACGATACATTTTTTGCTCCATTAAGTAACAGATGTTAATAATAATTGGACGTTCCTTTCAGATGTGTTTGGCTCTTTGCTACCCAGATACTATTGACATTACCTGCGAATTATATTTTCATGAACTGTCTGACGGTGCAAAGGCGAAGTAATAAGAGAGTTCAGATATGACTTTGAAAGTTTCTAGACTGTAAACATTAAGTGTAATTTCAACTACTATCTTACACTCACGACTTATGATAACTTTAGTTTCGGGTTTTTCCGAGAAGAACTTTAGTTTTGGTTTTTGAAGGATAGTCTGAAATTGAATTGTAAGATTAGCAAAAGATTGGTTATAATTATAACTTTAAAGAACAGTTAATGACTCTTCGTTGTAATAAAGTTAAAGAATTCTACAAAAATTCGCCGGTATTTTTAATAACATAAATTGAGTGAATTATCTGGATTAATTGATGAATAATTAAAGAAAATATTTTGATGAGAAAGTTTTTACCACAACTTAATGTTTCGGATAAATTACAATTTGATATTCACCCGCAAAGGTGGCTCAGGGCATGAAGTGATGTCACTGTACTGCCTATGACCGGGAGATCGTGGGTTCGAGTCCCGACTTTGATAGGTTTTTCGACAGCTAGATCTAATTCAGCCGCTGTCTGGTGAGAATTCTAGAGACCGGCTGCTCTGATCGTTAGTTTTCCGTCTTTTCTCGTATCATCACCACGCGAATGCTGTAGCAATATCCTAACAAATGGGTCACGGACCGCGCGCGATCTTTCTTTCCTCTTCCTTGCTCGATCCTCACCCCTTTCATCTTGCATACCTTCACTCACATCAGTGTACTATAACACTTGTCGGGAGAGCAGCCTTCTAAATCTTGTTCCGGCTGGGACAGTGCCCCTCTTGTCGGAGATACCTGGTTGGGGAAAATTTCCGCATGCCGACGTAGTTCGGCCCCGGATCTCTGTAGCCAGCAGGGGAAGATCACTGCCACCTCCCGCAATGAAAACGTGCACTACAATTACAGGACTAATTATCTTTGCCGTTAACGTGCCCGAAATTACTAATCAATGAACGGTTTTATATTCGTTGCGTATGAAAAATGATTTATATATCTGAGCATTGTTGAAAAACATGTTTTCAAAATTGTTTTGGTATAATGCGAGTATTTTATGCAAATTGCGAACAATATTTATTTTAAGCGTATAAAAACATTCTTTAACAAGCTCTAAGCTCCCGACCGCTCTCTCGGCATGTGTGATAGTGCAGCGCGTGTTAGTGTAAGTGTGTGTAAGGGGTTAGAATAGGGCAAGGAAGAGGAAAGTACGATCGCGCGCAGTCCGTTCCCCATTTGTTAAGGTACTGCTACGGCATTCGCCTGATGAAAACTACCGATCCTTGATGGAAAACTACCGATCAGAGCAGCTGGCCGTTAGACTTCTCGTCCAGATTGTAGCCATTCTCCTTTAGTAGGCTACCAAGAGTGTAAAGTTAAAAAAATCTGAATCCGAGTACCCGCGAACTTAGCAAGTGCAGAAAAGGCAATAACCGTAAAAGACAAAAGGCGGCGGTGGGGGCGGCGAGCGAGAAAGAAGAAAAGCTCCTCTTGTAGCGACGCCCCCCAACTTGGTGCAAGAAGAGCCGCGGCGTTGGCAGGGCGAGGAAGGGCGGAGGCGCTGCCCTTAATGCGAGCGCGGCAACCGCTAATTCCCCTTTTCTTCTGGCGGCGCCGCGGCGCAGCGCCGGAAGGACGGTGGAGCGAGGAGGCGCGCGGCGGCGTGTGGAGAGGGGGGCGGGGCAAGGAAGAGCAGGGTGAAGAAGTGTGTGGAGGGCGAGGGGGTGCGGGAAAGTGCGCGGTGGTACGAAGTGAAGTGTGGCGGAGTGGGACGCGGGGTGTGTGATGGCGCGAGACAGGAGGTACTACAAGGTGGGGGTGAAATAGGGTATGGGATAGCGTGAGGTCAGGGTGGTCCTGGGTAAGAAATCACTCGGGATACTGTGTAGTACAGAGGGCCGGTTGGTGCAGAATAGCGCAAGGGCGGGCGGCATGGAGGACGTGGGCACTGAGAAGGAGTGTTTAAAAAGAGACAAGTTTCTGTGAAAGAGTCAGAAGACGTGCAGATGGAAGCGAAAGCAGAGAGAGGAATGAAAACAAACAAAAAAGATAAGTTTTATTACAATGCTCACATTTCTAAGGAGTCGAAAAAGTGTGAATGATATCAAAATAATGAACATTGCTCAGACATTCTTTGAGGTATAACTGTGGCAAAAGGTATAAACTAAGCAGGTAAACGTAAGAATTCAGTGACAATCATATTCGTTCGGTAAGAGATGTCAGGTCGAAACCATTAAAATTAAAATGACAAATTATTGAATAATGTGCATAATATGTGAAAATTGTATTAAAATTCTTCTGTCTATCCTAATGAAAGGATTGGAGGGAAATGCACGAAAATACATAAAGGAAAGAAGTTGTATGGAGAGCAATGTAGATGGAAAGGAATAAGAAGCAAGCACATGGCTGAGAGTGAGGAAAGAAGAAGGCCGCTTAAGGAACAACAAGACTTAAACGAGAGTGTGGTGGGGCTGTGTGTAGAACTTTTTCTTTGTGACAAAAAGGGCGCTTTAAATGATTGCGGTTATAATGATAATAAATTACGTTGGGCAGAAATCTCTCTACAGCATGAGCTGAGATAATTGCAACGTTTACTTTCCAGAAAACTGAACAAGACAATTTGGGATAAGACCAAACTTTCTTAAAAGATTTTAAAATTACAACTAATGATGCCGTTTACGTTCACCAAGTTTACACGCTTATTAGTCAAGATCATTATTTTATAAGTAAGAAACAAAAACATTTAATGAGAATTTTAATGACAGAACGAATTGAGGTTTTTAGAACTACGTAAGAGAGTATAACGGACAAAAGAAATTTTTTTATTAGATTATTTAATTTAAATTAAGTGACGATAATGAATGATAATGAAAGGCAGATACGTCTTAAGAATATTGAACGTTAAACTAAAAGTCAGATGTACGTTTAAAAGTATAAAAAAAATTACAAAGTTTGTAAACCAGCACCTTAAGGAATTGTGTTCTTCATTCAATTACACTAGAGGACATTTTTTCTCATACCTCCACGATGAAAGTAAGTTCAAAGGAAACGATCACTTTGATTTCCAAATCATTATAAAATGTTTCTATCGCGCAAGGTTCAAAAG